GCGGGGGGTCCCAGCGACACATCAGGGTTGGAGGAGACGCATCGGGGCTGGGCCCGGCCTCCCCAGACACCGCCACCCCCTGAATGGACACACACTTCCAAAGAAAGGCCTCGAGGCTCTTCCCACTCTCACCGGCCCTACCTGACCGAGGAAGAAGCAGTCTTTCTGGGGATCTGACTAATGGGATTTATCACAAATGGCTTTGGACAGTGGCTGCTCCTTGTCCTTTCTCTGTCTCTGTCTCTCTGTCTCTCTCTCTCTCCCTCTCCCCTCACACCATTGGGGGTCTCACCGTCGCTCAGGCTGGAGTGTAGTGGCATGGCTCACAACAGCCTTGACCCCCTAGCTGGGACTACAGATGTGCGTCACCACACCCAGCTAATTTTTTGATTGTTTTGTACAGACAAGGTCTCGCTATGCTGCCCAGGCTGGTCTCGAACTCCTGGGCTCAAGCAGTCCTCCTGCCTCGGTCTCCCAAAGTGCTGGGATTCCAGGTGTGAGCCACCACACCTGGCCTTGTCCTCTCTTCTTGACGTAATTGGATGCCTAGCTTTTCCTCCTCTCCCCTCTCCCTTCCCCTGCCTCCTCAGACTCTCTGGGTGGGTCTGCGGTTTTCTGGTTCACTCTCCTTGACCTTCTGCACCTGGTTTTGTCCCTGTACAGAGTGTCTCCCCTCCCCAATCCTTCCTGATGCTCTGTCTGGGCTCTCACCCTTCACCGGCCAGGTGGAAGAGGCTTCCCATGAGGGCTCTGGCCATGGGAGAGCCCAGTTAGGCCTGGCTGCCAGGGTGTGGGTTCAGAGAAGTCCCTGATGACAGGGGTTTGTCCTGAGCCACTGGACCCTAGTTCATCATCAATATAGTGAAGAGACATCGTGCTAGGTGGCACCAGCTGGGAGCAGAGAAGGTGCCTGGCACTGCAGAGCCACACAGCAGGGGTTGGGTGAGTTCTGCCCCAGCGCCCCTCAGGCTACATCTAAACCCAGTCAGGGGTATCTGGATGTTGGGACTCGGCAGCCGCTTCCTAGGTTCCGGGTCACCAACACCTAGGACTAGGCTAATCACCTCCCCTGCAGTTCCCAGAACACCTCGCTCAGACTAGGAGCCTTTCTGGCACCCTAGGGTGAGTGAAGGTGCCCAGCCCGGCCCCTCATCCATGTCATTGTGCAGGGGGTAGGAGGGGGGTTCTCTGACAATGGACACTTCTTTTGGGTGGCGGATTGGACAGAGGGGACATAGTGAGTCTTGTGACTTCAGCACAGGCCTCTTTACAGAAAGGACAAACGGAGGCCGAGGGCTCCTAAATGGAGGGGTAGACCGGAGAGGGCTGAACTCTCCTTCCCCTCCCCTTCCCTCCCTCCTCTCCCCTCCCTCCCCTCCCCTTCCTCTTCTCCCCTCTCCTCCCCTGGCCTCCTGGACCCAGAGAGGAGCTGGCACACTTTGCTCTTTTCTCCCAGGCTTGCAGAGCTCATACCCAGCCCCTGCTGCCGATAACAGTACCTGGTGTCGCCTAAGGTCTTGGATCCCCACATCCCTTTTGTGTACCTGTCTCCTTTGCCAGGAGCACCCTCCACCCATCTCCACCCTCAGAATTCCACACCTCAGCTCCAAGACTTCTGCCTTCAACCTTTACCAGACTCCCTCCTCCACACCACACCCTGTAAAGTGATCCCTTCCTCCTGGGTGCTCCCATCAGGAACAGTCCATCTGAGGAGGTGGAACGACAAACTGAAGGTGCAAGGAGTCAGTGTAAAGACCCAAGACTGGGATTGGATGACGGGCTGAGGGAGGGTTAGAGAGGTGGGAGGCTGGAGGCCATAGAGGAAAGTTCGTGGGGCAAAGGTACCAAGGCCAGACGGGGTGGGTTGCTTGCCTGGCCCCAAAGACAGGGTGCCCGACTCACTGTGGGGCAGATTGCCAGGTGTCCCCACACCCCATACACAAGCCTCTCACTGGTTCCCCTTCCTGCGTTTCCACTTTTCCTGGAACCAGTCTCTTGCCCTCCCACCCTGTCCCTGACAAGCAGGGACAGAGAGGCCGGGGTTGGGGGCCCGGGGGGGAGATGGGCAGGGGCTCACCCAGTAGCAGCAGCAGCAGCAGCAGCGTGGGCCTCAGGGAGCGGGCCATGCTGGAGAGACTGTGAACAGAGGAGGGGGATGGCCAGGCAGACCCCTGGTCCGACAGGTGCCCCTTGCTGGCACCTCCGGAGCAGGAGTGTGATGAAACCGGTTGTTTGCACTGACACGTTGGGAGGAGCCTTTGCAGCGACAACTCCCCGCCCCCGCTGAATCCCCACTCCAGGTTGTGCCTTGAGGTAAATCTGGGAGAGCCTGATCATGCCCAGATGGACTCCAGTGCACTAGCTCCCCACACACCCCGCAATGCCCGCACAACAACCCAGCAGACATAGTCACTCCTTGCTAAACTAGAAACTGTATGAAACAGTATTGTTCCTTTTTCTGTTTTGTTTTTTAAAGTCAGAGTCTCACTGTCATCCAGGCTGGAGTGCAGTGGCACACTCATGGAGTGCGGTGGAATGCTCATCCTCGACCTGCTGGGCTCAGGCAATCCTTCCTCCTCAGCCTTCCAAGTAGCCAGAACTACAGGCACATGCCACCGTGCCTGGCTAATTTTTTATTTAATTACTTATAGTAGAGACAAGGTCTCGCCAAGTTGTCCAGGCTGGTCTTAAACCCCTAGGCTCAGTCAGTCATCTCGCCTCCACCTCCCAAAGTGCTGGGATTACAGGTGTGAGCCACTGCGCCCAGGTCCTTTTTAAGAATATATATATAATTTGAACTTGTTATCATTAATGAATTTAGACTTGCGGAAATGTCGGAAAATGTTAGCTGTCCCCTTTTACCGCTCACGGAGCTTCATCAAGCAATGATGAAGACTAGGAAGTTAACCTTGGCAAGACACTATTCACTAAACTGTAGGCCATTGAACTCCCCCAGTTCTTCCTTGTTCTGTTCCAAGATCCAAGCCAGGATATCACATTGCATTTAGTTCTCATGTCTCCTTAAGTCTCCCCTGATCTGTAGTAGTGTCTATCTTTCCTTAGCTGTACCCTTGACACTTTTGAAGAATCCTGGTAGGTTATTTTGCAGAATGGTTCTCTTGAATTTGTCTGATGTTTTCTTCTGATCAGAATGAGACACAGCATTGTTTTGCTAGCCTAAAGGCTATTTTTTAAGTAGATGTTGAGGTTAAAAGTTTCAGCATTGAGATTTTAAAAGCGACAAAAAAAATAGAAACTACCATGATGTGTCTTGACTTTTAATGCAAATATAATGAGATTCCACTTATAGGTCCAGGTCCAGATGACCTTTCTCTTGGGGGGGGGAGTTGGAGTCTCACTCCGTTGCCCAGACTGGAGTGCAATGGCACGCTCCCGGCCACCACAGTCTCGACCTGCTGGGCTCCGGCGATCCTCACGCCTCAGCCTTCCAAGTAGCCGGAACTACAGGCGTGTGCTACCAAGCCCGGCTAATTTTTTTTTTCTTATTTATTGTGGAGATGAAGTCTTACCAAGTTGCCCAGGCGGGTCTTGAACCCGCGGCAATCCACTCACCTCAGCCTCCCAAAGTGCTAGGATTAGTCTAAGCCACCAAGCCTGGCCAGATGACCTTCTTATTAGAACCCAGGAACAATCCTCTCTTCTTAGAATTATCTGAAAGAGAGGAGAAATGAGAAATGTCCATCTCCCAGAGAGAGGGATGTCTGTTGTCCTGAATAAAATTCTAATGAGTAGAAAAATTATGAAGGAGAGAATACAGACAGACACAAGCCCTAAGGTTTTGTCTGAAATTCTCCCATAACGTTTTTATTTTTATTTAAATTTTTTATTTTAAAGATGTGGGGTATAATTCAGGGTTAAACATTTTATTTTTAAAGACAAAATTTAGACCTAATTTTACATGGATGCCATCCCTTTAAATGTGTGACGTGTTAACATTTCATATGTACAAAAAAGAATAAAGATGACGCAAAGACTTCTCTAGTACCTGTGAACCAGGGTGAGAAATACACCATGGTAGAGTCGTAGACCCTCATGTCCTCTGCCAGTTCCTGTGCTGGCCCAGCCCCATTCCCCTGATGCTCCCTAGCTACTTCTTTGACTGTCTTTCTCAATGATATGTATATATGCCTAAGTATATGGTACTGTTTTACATATGTATGGATGTATAGACTATATAAATGACGTGCCTCACTCAGGAACTTTTTTTTGCCCAACACTATTTTTTTTTTAGATTTATTCACATTGATGTTTGTAGACGAGGTCATTTTCTCTGCTGTAGAGTATTTCACAGTGTAATGATACCATATACTTTATCCATTCTTATATTGTTGGATTTTTTTTTTTTCCTGATTTTAACTTTTGAAAATAATGTCTGTAATCCCGCGCCTTTGGGAGGCTGAGGCGAGTGGATTGCCTGAGCCTGCGGGTTCAAGACCCGCCTGGGCAGCGAGAC